ATTTTCTTCCGATCTATTACGAGCACTGTCTGTCAACTGCTCCGCCAATGGTTTACGTAATAAATGCTCCAATTTACGATTCAATTCATAATCCATTAAACCCAAGACAAGACATCACCATAATCCATTTCATCAATATGCTGCTGATACCAATTGCCGCAAGCATATTGATAGAAATTCTCACAAGGTCGTGCCGTTGCATCCATATAACGTTCAATATTTAAGGCAGCCAATTGATTGATGTTCTGTGTTTGATTGTGGGTCTGGCGACAATTTGTCGGTGTTGTACGCCAGATTATAGACGCCAGCAAGCCAAAGACAATGCTGAACTTTAACATGTTGAACTTTAGTTTTTACTACGATTATCTTTTTTCTTTTTTTTGCGTATAGTTATAAATTTTTGTGATATAATCTGTTATTGTCTTCGTTATGCATGTGTTTTGGGGATTTTTTTTTGTGATTTTTGTATATTTTTAAACTTTTTATATATTTTTTTTATTTACTTATTTTGTTTAAAATCAAATATTGCACAAATTTAATCTTCCTCATCCAAGTACTTGTTGCTTAAAACTAATCTCTGTTTCATTTTTAAATCAAAATCTGAGTCTATAAAATCTATTTAAATTGTTTTCATCAGTTTTTTTTGTTCCATGTTTTGTATTTATTTTTTGTCTGCTCTTTTGTTGTTAATAGCTTTGTTCCTTTACTTGTCAAGTTCGCAGGTTTTTACCAGAAATTGTAAAAGAGAACAAATTTGAGCAATTAAAATTATTTTCTCTTTGCCAGAACTTGCAGGTTTTAGCCAGAACATTTTTTCCTGGCAAATAGAAAAAAAAAATTGTCAAATAAATTATTTGTTTAAAAAAATACATTGCAAACAAAAAATGTTTGATATTTTTGATTTGTTTTCATAAATAAGTATATGTGATTGTAGTTTTTCAATTTTATTTTAATTTCAATAGAAATTTATATGAATAAACTTCAATACAAATTTATTGAAAGAGAAATTTTGTTTTTTCTGTTCCCGTACTTTTTATAAGTACGAAGAGAAAATTCATTAATTCTCTTTAACCAGAAAAGTTCTGGAACAAAGCTAATGTATTTTCTAAGTACGCTACTGTAGGTAGATAGATATACAAATGTTTGGCTAAGTTTTGTAACATTTTTATGTTTTTTTGCTAAATAAGAAAGGAATGGACATTATAGATACTTCGTAGTCTAGACAGTCGATTATATATAATCTGGATCTTCTCTGTTTTATACTACAGATCCTATATAGACTATACTACAGATCCTATATAGTCTATACTACAGATTCATGATTGTCTTTACTATGGATTCTCTACAATTGGAACTATAGATACTGTGTAATCCGGACTATAGATTCTCTATAGTCAGGACTGTAGATACTCTACAATCAAGACTTAGGAACGTCATAGTCTAGAATATAAAACCTATATAATGTTAACTTTAGAGTACCTATAGTCTGAACAATGGATGCTTTATAGTTTGACCGATATATACTGTGTAGTCGGTACTATAGATTTTCTATAGTCAGGACTGTAGATACTCTACAATCGAGACTTTAGGAACGTCATAGTCCAGACTATAAAACCTATATAATGTTAACTTTAGAGTACCTATAGTCTGAACAATGGATGCTTTATAGTTTGAACGATATATACTGTGTAGTCGGTACTATAGATTCTCTATAGTCAGGACTGTAGATACTATACAATCGAGACTTTAGGAACATCATAGTCTAGACTATAAAACCTATATAATGTTAACTTTAGAGTACCTATATTCTGAACAATGAATGCTTTATAGTTTGAACAATATTACTCGATAGTCTAGAATATAAGTACTCTATATGCTGGACTGCAGACTCTAAAAACTATAGATGCTCTATAGACTGGACTATATATAGTTTAAATTCTGGACTATAGATACTCAATAGCAGGAACTAAAGATACTCGACTGTCTATACTGTAAGATCTCTGTGGTCTATATAAATATGTGGTTCTGACAATAGACCCTCTATAGCGTGAACTATAGATGCTCTATAGTCTGGAATATATATACTCTAGACTATAGAGTCTATTTAGTCTCTGAACTATATATGCTCGATAGTCTAGAATATAGGTACTCTATATTCTGGACTACAAACTCTAAAAACTATTGCTACTCTATAGACTGGACTATATATAGTTTAAATTCTGGACTATAGATACTCAATAGCAGGAACTAATGATACTCGACTGTCTATACTGTAAGATATCTCTGGTCTATATATAGTCCTGACAATAGACCCTCTATAGCGTGAACTATAGATGCTCTATAGTCTGGACTATAAATACTCTGGACTATAGAGTCTATTTAGTCTCTATTGTACTATAGATACTCTATGTTCTGTAATACAGATACTCTATGGTCTGGAATATATGTTCTAATATATACTTTATATTCAGTACAATAGACACTCTACAGGCTGGTCTATAGATAGATATTCTATAGATTACACTATAGCTACTCTAGAGTCTGGGCTATAGTTACTTTAAATCCGAACTTTAGTCTGAACTACGGATACTTTACAGATATTGTTTGGTCTTGACTATAGATACTCTATAGTCGGAACAATATATTTTGAAATCTGAGCTATAGTTTTCTGTAGACTATACTACAAGTACTCTAAAGTCTGGACTATAGTTAAGTTAAAGTCCAGACTATTGTCAGAACTATAGATACAGTCTGGTCTATTGATATTGTTTAGTCTTTAGACTATAGATACTATAAAAGAGCACTAAATTCGAGAAGGGTACTTTTTGTACTTAATGTCCGCTCTATATTTTAAATCCATAGAAGTCTACTTTTACTATCTCTATAATATATATTACACTTTCCTACAGGCCTTCTTCTAAATTTCATACAATTTCCATTTCTCTTCATAAGTACTTATTTTGCATTTTAAAATGTTTTTTTGGTAAATTTTATTTTTGTGATTTTTTTCTTATTTCCAGAATTTTTATTTTTATTACAATTTTTTTTTCATTCTTCTTACTTTTCATTAACATGTTTATACTTTTGAATAGATTTATGATGTTTTTGTTATTTAAATTCTATTTTATTTTATATCAATCCAAATATAAAATAATGATAATAATAAAATCAGCCGCTTTATCAGTTCGTTTGAGAGTTTGTTTAGTAGTATCTCTCTCATTTTGTTTAACTGGGAGATTTTGTTTTACACCTAAACATTTTAGCAAATAAAATCGACTCGAAGAACACACAGAGAAAATATGTAAAATTTCAGACCCTAATTTGCATAATAGTACGGAATGTGTATAATAAAATAGTAGAGACAAATGTATTTTTAGTCTTTAGGAAAAGTTGCATAACTTTGTGCTGTAGGAGAAAAATGTAGAATTATCGGATATTTATCTAATATGGACTAAAATCTGGACTATAGGGACCTTAAAGTCAGGATTATATAAATTGCATATATACTGCATTACATATTCTCTATTGTCTGGACTATAAATACTCCATACTCAAGACCATAAATACTTTATACTCTGGACTATAGATACACTATAGTCTGGACTATAGATTCTCTATAGTCTGGACTATAGATTCCCTATAGTCTTTACCATAGATTCTCCATAGTCTGGACTACAGATTCTCTATAGTCTGGACTATTGCAATCTATAGCCAGAACCACAGACAATTTATAGTCTGGACCATAGACAATCTATATTCTGGACTACAGACAATCTATTCTCTATGATATGGAGATTCTCTATAGTCTGGACTATAGATTCTCTATAATCTGGCCTATAGATTCTCTATAGTCTGGACTATAGATTCTCAATAGTCTGGACTATAAATTCTTTATAGCCTGTACTTCAGATTCTCTATAGTCTGGACTATAGATTCTCTATAGTCTGGCCTATAGATTCTCTATAGTCTGGCCTATAGATTCTCTATAGTCTGGCCTATAGATTCTCTATAGTCTGGACTATAAATTCTTTATAGCCTGTACTTCAGATTTTCTATAGTCTAGACTATAGATTCTCTATAGTCTGGACTATAGATTCTCTATAGTCTGGACTATAGATTCTCTGTAGTCTGGACTATAGATTCTCTATAGTCTGGACTATAGATTCTCTATAGTCTGGACTATAGACTCTCTATAGTCTGGCCTATAGATTCTCTATAGTCTGGACGATAGATTCTCTATAGTCTGAACTATAGATTCTCTATAGTCTGGACTAAAGATTCTTTATAGTCTGTACTATAGATTCTTTATAGTCTGGACTATAGATTCTCTATAGTCTGGACCATAGATTCTTTATAGTCTGGACTATAGATTCTCTATAATCTGGACTATAGATTCTCTATAGTCTGGGCTATAGATTCTTTATAGTCTGGACTATAGATTTTCTATGATCTGAACTATATATTCTCTATATTATGGACTACAGATTGTCTATAGTCCGGACTATGATTCCGTATAGTTTGGACCATATATTCTCTATAGCCTGGACTGTATATTCTCTATTGTCATGAGTACAATAGTACAGTTTTGACTATAGATTCTTTATAGCCTGGACTATAGATTGTTTATAGTCTGGAATATAACCACCACAGTCGGGATTATAGATGTAGCAAAAGTTTTGCTGTAGTCTTCTTATTACTGCTCTTAAGAAGTTGTGAATTTATATAAATTCTTTTTATTTTAAAAATATTTATTTACTGCATATAGACTTTACAATTTACACTACTTATAGTTACATAATTCTTTTATAATAACTTATGTTTTATTTTTATATCTCAATAAAGACGGCATTTATTTTTTGGATGCATAGCGCTATCTACCGAACAGCCATAGGTCTCGGCGAATGGTAAAAAATTCTTAACAATTTGTTGCAAACGCACTGGATCCGGATCATGTTCAATGAATTTTAAGTAGCTTTTATTACAAAAGAATTGTGCCAAATTCATGAAGAATTCTTTTCGCCAATCATCTTTTGACGCTGAGCATAGTACTGCAAATAGGCGCGATAAACCACACGCACACCAAATATATCGGCAATACGTTCATGTATATAAGTAGGCTTTTGTTTTTGCAAACATATTAGAGATTCTGAGAAATTCGGATGGTTTAGTATAGCTGAAGTTTGGGTTAAAGAATAGCCTTGATGATCGTATTGTATGCCGATATTATCAACAGCATGTGTTAGTTCATGGGCCAAGACAAAGCCAAAGAGGGACAATTGTTGTAGAGGTGTTTGCTTATAGTGAAATAGCGGCAATTGAAAGGTGGCAAACGGCAAGACTATCATATTCTTGGTGAGCAAATAAAAGGGCGAGGGATAGGTATAATCGACTGTGATATCATGTGTTTGATTTCTTTCATATAGCAACGATTTACGAAAGCGATGTTTCAATAAGAGTAAATGATTTTTATTATAATTTTTACGATCTAGTTGAGGTATATCCTGATAATAGGTCTGTATTGTTTTAAAATCAAAACCGTTGGGTAAATTTCCAATATTTAGTTTAATTGTTTGAATTTTATTGTTTAACACATTTATATGTTCGGGAGACAAATGCAAATGATTCTCCTTGAAATAGGTTTCCATAATGTCTCTTATATTGAGAAGCATAGAGTTAAGAACAAGTTTGAATTTCTTTGCTCTCAATTTATAAAAGTCATGATAGTATAAATAGTTTATGGCCAAATCGAATTTATTTCTTAAATCTTTAAGACATTCCAGCGGTTCAAAGTCTTTTACTCCATCTAGCTGTAAGTAATATAAGAATTTTATTAATAAATAAAGTTGCAAACTTTTCAACTCCTTGGACGTCCACGACTTTAGATTTAAATTAAAAAAAATTCAGCATTATTTATGGTAATCATGTTGACACTATGTAGCTCTGCTTCCAATAAGTTTTCTAAATATGACTGCAAATTTAGATGCGTATAAAGTAGAGTTATATTTTTTACAGTTAATTGTTTAAAATCGTTTTTTCTAATACTTTTCACCAGCTGTTGCCATTGCAATTCTGTTGCATATAAATCTTTGATTTTTTTCTCCATAAAGTCTAAGTCCAAATTATATAAAATATTCATAAGCGACTGGCTATCGGGTAAATAACTCTCTTCCTTGTCAAACGATACCGGTGACAATATTATATTAAGCGTGTTATCCACATTCCTTGTTATAGTGTGTTGCACTATGACATTATTTAAACCATACGACTGCATATGACCCAATAATGGCCAAAAATCAAAGTTTGTATTCAATAAATATTCTTTGATTACCTCTAAATATTTGCCCATTTCATAGACTTCCTCACCCATACAGGCCTCATAGTATGTCAACATTTTATCATAATATGTTTCCAGTTCAGGATGTTCAGTGTGATATAATTTTCGAATTTTTAAAGCTCTATTCATATATTTCAATAGCTTTTATTAGTTTTATAATCCAAATGTTGCAGTATTTCATTATAATTGTTATCTGGGTTTTCCTTACCATAATTACTGCAGGCATATTCATAGAAATCCTCACAAGGTCCCTTTTTAAGTCTAGTTGTTCCAATATGTTTTAAACTTGTCAATCTTAAGGTTTGACAGATTATTAATGCATTTATTAAGTGTTTATAAGAAATACATTTTATGTTATGTGGAAACGTTGAGACGAAAACCGCTACTGTTCTTTTAAAGATTGTAGATTCAAATGAATCTATGTGTTATTTTTAACCTGACCACAGACGGAGTTAAAAATAATTCCGAAACTATTTGCAACTGAAATGTTTAATAATATGTATACTAGCCATACCCAGTGTGCTTCGCTACCCTCATCGTAATGGAATAAAATAATTATCATTATTGTAAATGTATATATATCTGCAATATCAAAAAGTACCTTTTGAAGAGCGAAAAAGTACCAAAAAGTAATCTTTTATATGTTATCACTTACTCCGAGCTCTACGTGCTTAATTTCATATTTTTAGGTTCAATATTATAGAAATTTCAAAAAGTACCTTTTGGAAAACGAAAAAGTATCGAAAAGTCCCCTTTTATAGGTTCTCATTTACTCTGGGTTCTATAAATTTAATTTCATGTTTCTAGGTTAAATTTTAGAAAACTCAAAAAGTACCAATCGAAGGACGAAAAAGTACCAAAGAGTCCCTTTTTATATTCTCATTTACTCCGGGCTCAATATGCTTAATTTCATGTTTCTAGGTTTAATTTTAAAGAAAACTCAAAAAGTACCTATGTAGAACGAAAAAGTACCAAAAAGTTTTTCTATTATTAATTTCATGTTTCGATCACAAAGTATACAGAGGTGTCACTTTTGACATTTAAAAAATTCTAAAATCAGCTTTTGTTTGATTTTGAAATTGTTTGGTGAGAAGAGGTATATAAAATACAGCTAAAAAAAAATATTGAATTCGTTTTGTGCAAAAGAGAGGGAAATAGTTTTTTGCTCGTGACGCCTCTGTATACCCTGTGGTTTCGATTTCAATATCATAAAAAACTCAAAAAGTACCAGTTGGAAAATGAAAAAGTACAAAAAAATATCACTTGGTACCGGTGTTCCAAATAACACCCCATTAGCATATATAGTGTTTCTAGATCTAAAAATTTTATAAAATTGGATCATTGTGTTTGAATAAAATCAAATTTCCTGTTTTAACCCTCTTTGGTACCATTAACGAAATAAAAATTCTGTTCCAAAAAGTTGCAACATCGTATTGGGAGCCCGTTATAATGTAATATATAATAAATCAAAAACAATGTTTTAGAAAAAAAGTACCAAAATAGGTACAATTTTCACCCTTAAAGGTCCGAATATCAAAAAGTACTAAATTCATATT